AAAACTAAATGATGGCCATATGTATTGTTTGTATATGACACATTGTGATGACAGTAGCATTTTAACCACTATATCGCTGTTGTGCTTTCCATGTTACTTAACTTTTTGATTGTTGAGAACTGAAAACTTGGATGATCTGTCATAGAGGGATTGGTTTATAATAAATATTCTGGATGTTGTTAGTCATAGATGTAAAAATTTTACTTACATTTACTCTCTTTATTTATGTCATAGGAGTTAGCACACCACCTACTGAAAATGGAATCAAGAAGAATCCCTGGCCAGGAGAACCGTTTTCAACAACTGCCAGTGAGAGCGAGTCGCGGACAACACCACGTCCCGGTATTTTAAAACATAGAGATGTGAGAAAAGAGATCAACGGTGTCAAAGGATCTAGAGAACTTAACGATTTAAATAGAACACGGAATACTAATATTTCAGCCAGTAATTTATCAACTAGTAATTTATCAAATTCTTCAATACCAATTCATAAAGGTAAGAAAATACTTGTGAAGTAATAGAAACTTATTCTTTTCTGTGTACTTGCATTGAATTTCAGATAGCAGACTGTTGACATTGACACTACATCTGCTGTCTTGATTTATAAATCATCACTATCAAAATTAGGATTTTTGTGATGTTTTGCATGATAATGTAAACCTCTCCAAGTAAATTCATATCAAGCCAAAACAAATTTAGCTAAATTTATTGGATTCGAAGAAGAGTAGACATATTGCGTTCGACATTGACTCGCATATCCCATAAACCCTTCTCCTTGTCCAATATGCCTCTGTGGAGGATTCATTGTTTAAATAAATGACCTTATGCTGGTTTCATCGTAGTAAATCGAGCAACTTAGAATAGTCTAAACATGCCATGTGTGTAGTTGTTTTACAACTCGTGGTACACATTTGATAGATTATGTACACTGGTTACAACACACGAACCACTCGCACTTCAAATATGTCATATTCATATGATCATGAGTTATCTGATACATACTGTAAATTTGTTTGAATCGGGGAATTTTGTAGAAGGATTTTTGGCTTTCTCATAATGTTGTCTTCATGAATTCCTTCTAGTTATTAAATCATGGAAACAGCTAGTCAAATGAAGTGCTTTACGCTTTGCTCTTGTAAAGAAGTCTTGCAATGCTGAACTCATTTTTATCTCTTCTTACCTTACAGTTAATGGAGGTAATAGAAATATAATTCCACTTCCAGTTCCAGAAAGAGTAGATAGTTTACCGCCAGCGTATAATGACATTCATAATTATAAATATGGGGGAGGACAAAATCAAAGCCATTCTTCGTTAGCTTCAAGCAGTACTAGCATCCCACAATCATCTAATCTGTCCAAGTTACCAGTATCAGGACTAGTGCCAAGTTCTGACAGGATAGCAGTCCAAGTTTTAAGACCTAATGGCAACCTTTCAGATTCAGAGTAAGTATTGTTGATGTCACATGACTAGGTCACATGATGTTGAACACGCACACTGACCGAATTAGTATTTGTTAGATGCAGTGTTCTGATATCGACCAATACCAATGTTATACTTAGTGTAATCTGTATTAGAAGCCGTGGATTTTATTAAAATGGTACAATGCAACATAGGGGATGTGGCTTCTATTAGAGCATCTACACATATGAGAAATGGTGAATTTTTGGTTTTCAATTGTTAAAAAAAAATGGGATGCGGCTTCTAATACAGATTTTACGGTACTACAAATTTGTGACATTCTAATTGCAGTGTTACACAATCCTGACACCTAACAGTCAAACCAATCAGGGAGCAGCTTGTTTGAGATCTTTCTTCAACACATCAAATTCTACCTTGTATATGTGCTCTCACTCAACTGCATGAATGTGCAGCAACACTTGAATAAAATTGTCTAATTTTCTTATGTTTCTGTGTATTAACATTCCACATATTAAATAATTGCTATTATAAATTATTTCAGAAACAGTAGTAATGAGACATCCGTGTGATGGCTGGAAAGAAGGACAAGTCTACATTAGATACAGAAACAAGATTGACATTGCTGTAAAACTAAATTGAAGCTCAATTCTTTTGTAAATACAGTAATTCTGTTATGTAATTTTATAGTATACTATGCCTGGTCAACAAAAATCAACATAACTAGGATACATTGTGTATTCCTTATGGGGGGGTCCCTATGGCTTCATCTTGTACACCTCTCCAGTCTTCCATCCTTGTTGTATATTTTACCAATTATGTAATTAATTTTTGAATTGGCAGGTCAGAGGTCACATCCTGCCAGATTATGTTAATATGTTGGATCTTGACAGTGTCTGTCTTGTTTCTTTTTTTTATTTTAAGCCATTGATCACTTTTGTCAAGAGATTTTTAATATATTGTAGACATTTTCTTTTTTATATTTTGTACCTTATGTTTAAGACATTACGAGGTTCATTAAAAACTGGAGGAGTTTTAATGATTTGTTTTTGAATGTTTTTTTAATACAATACAAACAAGAGGAGTTCCAGAAACAGATTGAAGTTCACCTGTGTGGATTTTCATATTTTTTTTTATTACAAAACGCAGTTGAACTATTAAGATGGGAAGTTATAAATTTGTAGTTTGGCACTCCTCGAGAAAGGACCATGACTTTTGTTCAAAAAAAACCTACATGTATTGCTGTTCAAAATACAAACATTATGAATTTTATCTCTGACTAACAACTTTGAATTTCTGATAGTAGACTGTTCCCAGTCCATGAATTATGATATATAAATTTAATAAAATAAAGTGTTTTGAGAGGGAGATATTTTTATCTTATGAATATTTGTATATGTAGTATTAAATTGAGCTCAGTTCTGCATCATCTATATACATGTGATGTACAAAGTACTGTTGGTATGTCGAAAATGAGTGTTTAAGTCTCACTGTTTTGAGTACATTCACAGTAGTTTCAGATTTGTCATAGTTCGTTCCAGTTTTAGCTGCCATGTGTAAATTATATGATCATGTTTCTCTATTTATTTCTCTTTGGATTTAGCTCAGGTAGTTATCTTTCACAGAGGTGGGTGGACCTTGGATTGTCGCTCTTTTTGTCTAAATGCATTGCTTATTGATTTACCAAAGACTGCAAATTTCACTTGGCCTGGGCATGGTTAGCAACTAGTTTCTCTACGGCTATAGAAAAACTGAGCATGCTCAGACTTCATAGGATGCCAAGATGAGAATAGAGCATGCTCAGTTATTCTAAAACTTTATGTATAAATCCTCTGCTCATACTTAAAATGCTGCTATGCAAATGAAGCCGACTCGAACTATGTTTTTGAACTCTGAAAGTTTTTCACTATGTATTTTCTGTGAGACTTTAACAATGTTGTAAAGTACAGTCTGTTTGTTTGGACAGAAAAAAAGAGATTGTATTTCTAATATTTCTTCATATAGTGGATAATAATTATGAAAGTTAAAAACTTATGATTGTAGTGATCAACTTGTAAAAAAAATATATTGATCTTAGATGTTCAGTCATTTCTCGTATGTGTTGGTCAGTTTGTCATTAGAAAAGTAGATTAATGCAGAGTGCAAATATTGTCTTAAACACCATGGACTGTGATAGTATGATACCATAGTGATGTAATGAAAAAAAAACAAGATCAGCTAATGAGAGTGATTCTTGAGTCTGGAGTTCAATGCAGTCTGTCAGAGTATGTCTGTCAGTTCTTATTTTGTATCATATTGTCCAAAAACTCTTTGCATTGTGTATTAAAAAGTCATTCAAATCTGCAGACTGTTTGAATTGATAGCGTTTTCGTAACAGGTTAAATTGTTGGTCATGTTTTTATGTCAGTTCAATATCATTCACAGTCTTGTATTTTGTCAGCGCAGTCTTTTTGTGTATAGCAATTTTTTTTTTTTAATTTCGAGTCATTGATGCTTATTACCATTCAAGTTCTGTAATATATTTCTTTTACGATGCAAAATGAATGGCTTTTTATTAAAATTGTCACCTTGACAAAAATGTAATAAATCCTCTCTTGTTTTCATTAGCTTTTCCAATAAAATGTATATGTAGAAGTGGAGGGGGGTTGTTGATCCAATGTTTACGCAAACTTGTCAACAATATCACTTATATCAGCCATCAGAGTTGGATCATAAATTGAACATTATGAAGTTCGACAATTTTGTTATGCAAATGTTATGAAAGCAATGACTACAATTCCGAAATGTCAATGCACACATGTACTGCATGTCGCATTGTGTAATACGTTATAGAACTTTATAGTATTTGCAGACACAACTTTTAGTATGTCCTCCAATTTTTAGACCTACCTGTGTAACCAGTGGATGAGTGCATGTTTTTTAGTAACTGTTGCGGGAGTGATACAGATTCAATATGGGGGTCAAAACCACTGGCTGTGTTCCAGGCAAATTTTCGATTTGCTGTATGGAAGCGTCACTGGAATATGTACTTTTGTGTTTGAAGATCCGTCCTATATGTATGTTAGGATACATGTCTCTGACCATTCCTGAGTCTGTCCGTCGGTCTGTCCAGAGTCATATTTCAGAATCCTGTGGACCGATTTCGTTCATTCTTTGCATGTGCCTAGTACTTTATGTGGGACATGCACATGCAGTGGTTTAGCGTTTCGATTCAAAATGGCCGACTGGCAGCCATCTTTCTTTTTGAAAATATTGTATTTTGGACATGCTTTGTCAGTTTTCATTCAAATTTAGTACATGGATCATACATGTTAGGATACATGTCATGACGATTTATTTCACAATTGGATCAAAGATGGCCGACTGGCAGCCATCTTGTTTTTTGAAAATGTCGTATTTTGAACATGCTTTGTCAGTTTTCATTCAAATTTAGTACATGGACCATACATGTCTCTGACCGTCCGTGAGTTCCTGAGTCTGTCCGTCCATCCATCCGTCCGTCCGTCCGTCCGCCCGCCCGTCAGTCTGTCTAGAGTCGTATTTCAGAATCCTGTGGACCGATTCCGTTCATTCTTTGCATGTGCCGAGTACCTTATGTGGGACATATGCACATGCAGTGGTTTAGCAATTCGATTCAAAATGGCCGACTGGCAGCCATCTTTCTTTTTGAAAATGTTGTATTTTGGACATGCTTTATCAGTTGTCATTCAAACTTGGTACATAGATTATACATGTTAGAATACATGATGATTTATTTCACAATTGGATCAAAGGTGGTCGACTGGCAGGCATCTTGTTTTTGTTTTTTTATGAGGTATCTTGGACATGCTCTGTCAGTTTTCATTCAAATTTGGCACATACATGTACTTTATACATATTAGGATGCATATCCATGATAATTTGTTTCAAAATCTGGTCAAGGATGGCCAATTGACAGCCATCCGACTTTTTGGCCTTCCAACTATATTTCCACAATTTATGTACCATTTTTTTTCGTATTTGGCACATACATCATGCATATCAGTGTGTTTCATAATCAGATCAAAGATGGCCGAATAACGCCTGTTTTTATTTTTGGCCATATTACTACTACATGGAACACGTGTTTTGATGTAAATAATTGAGTTCCAAGGACACTCCCCTCCGCTTTAATATGACGAGCACAAAGAGAACTTAATTTAACGGGGACTGTCATTTTCAATGACTTGTTTCACCATAAAATTATGTTCCGTTGCGGGTAAAAGTAACAGAATGACCCCATGCTGCATGGAGACATAGATGGGTCATCAAAGCACAAACAACTTGAATAACTGATCCAAGTCCATAGAAGTGACACCACAAATCATGATCAAATCACTTAATTGTTGTAACATATCTCAGACTTCCTTGATAATATGCATTTTTGCTGGTAAGTGACCCAACCCTAATGTTGAACAATTCTTGAAACAAGATCAGGTGGGACAGATGACAGATTCACTTCTCTTGATGTACAAAAATCCTGAAATCGCGCAATAAGTTTGGTCAACACGAGTGCACACAGAGCAAATGGGTCATGGCTGTTGAGAGTCATGTAGTCAATGAAATCAGCATTGATTACTAATGCTGCTGCTGATAAAGGTTGTGTCCAAAGTATGCATTGCCTTGGTTAGCACATTGTCAGAAAACGGGGGTTGCCAGACTATGTAGTATTCCTCGCTCCACAGCAGACTGCTTGAATAAATGTTGGCTGGATGTGGGATATTTTCCCAGTATGCAAATCAGGAACCTACAGTTCTTCATTCGAATATATGTATTGTGAAGCAGCAACAGTATTTAACAGATGAACAGTTAT